GGCTGGATCATTCGGCAACATGCCCGTCAAGGACTTCATGGCCGCAGCAATGGAGCAAGGCCTGACACCACAGCAAGCTTTCCAGCAGATGTCGATGGTTCCAGCTGCTGGTCTGCCTTGGGCATCTCAGCCACTGGCCATCGAGTGGGTCTCGCCTGACCAGCGTGCGCAGCAACCCCGCACTTTCCAACTTCAGATGCAGCATCCTGCGCGTTCCGTTGCTGGCGCGAACCCCGCTGGCGCGAGCCCCGCTGGCGCGAGCAGCAGCGGCAACGCTGTCAGCCCGACCACGCCTCCTCCGACAGCGCCACTCGGGCAGCACAAGGCCGAGGCACCTGCACCAAGTGCACAGAGACCAGCATTTGGCACAGCGCTCAGCGAGTTCGACGGGGCCAAGTCTTCAACAGATGAAGTTGCTGAAGCTGAGAAGAAGATTAAAGCCATTGAGACTGAGTACGAGGAGCTCCTTCGCAAGGCCAAGGCGAAGAAGGACAAGCTCGCGAGCTCGACCGCTGAGGCGAAGGCGCTGGCAGTTGCCAAGGCTGCCAAGGCTGCTGAGAAGGGCGACAAGTCCGATGCGTCAGACGATGATGACGGCAATGAGTCACGCAACAAAGGCGGCGCTGTCACCGCGGCCGTTGCTGGCAGGGGCGCAGCCACGAGCGGCAGGGGCCGCGGTCGGGGCAGAGGCGCAGGCAGGAGCGGCGGTTCGGTCAACACGTTTGTCGGCAAGAGGCCAGCTGCTTCGACGCATACTGTGACCAAGCGCCCCCCGATGCCTGAGAGTGGGTCCGTGGAGTATCTAGGTGGTAGGGTTTCGCATTCAAATTCAAAGGGCGGCTGGAGGGTCTGGCCCAACATCGCAAAGCGTGGGGCTGAGAAGTGTGTGCCGTACGGTGACTCCCCCGACAAATCGTTCAGCGAAGCTCTGAACATCATCAAAGCATACAAAGATCTTGCTTCGGCCTAGAGCTTGTGCGTGCTGCTTGCATTCAGTGTGCGCTCTTCCTGTGCAACACAGCATATGGGTATGCAATCTGTCTTAGGTTTGACAGCTTGCCAGCTGTGCCGAATGTGCGCATTTGCACATCACGTTTGGTATTAAACCAGATATACAAGATTGAGAGTAAACACAATCGAGTCATCCACATGATCATTCACCATAACCGAATCATCATGCATCTTCTCATCCTCCTCCTCCCGACTGCATTTTTTGATTTTTGAAATTGTTGTCGGTTTTGACCGACTGTAATTTTTGATTTTGAAAATTGTTGTTGTTTTTGGTTTCTCCTCCTCATCCACCCTTCCTCCTCCCACTCCTCCTCCTATGCCATCCTTCCCTCATTCTCCTACGCATCCTCCTCTTCCTGTCCCCTCCTTGTCAATCCTGCCACTCCTGCTGCTCCTGCTCCTGCAACTCCTGCTGCTCACGTTGCTCCTGCTCTTGATAGCCCTGCTGCCCATGCGCCTGCCACTCTTGCCAATACTGCATCAATGCCTGAATATGGCCTAACACAGCCAAACGGGACGACCCAAGATGGCACCAATATGTTCCATCATTGCCTAACTACGTTCCCCAAGAGGCCTCAAGGCTGTCTTGCATGGTTTCCGAGACTGCTTAAGAGAGCCCTTGAGGCCCTGAGGCGGCCACCGATCGCTCCAAGACGGCTTAAGAACAATTGGCGCACACCATACAACAACGCACAGCTACGAACGACAACATTTACGCATAACCTAAAGTCACACGGCAACCTGTCAACAACATAGTACACATATGTAGCCAATCATTGCGGCCACGTGCTCTTATTTGTCGTGCGCAAATGGTGTGCGTTAGCTTGTGATTGTAATATGTATGTGTATATGTGTAATACATTGTCCATGCATGTGCGTTTGTGTAGCCTGTTTTGGCTCAAGACCCAGCTTGTTAAATGGACAGGCCAGCGAAGCTCCGCAGGATATCGGAGATCAGGTATGCGCTCCCTCACACAACTAAGGTTGCGCTCTCAAAATTCATCGAGTTGGCTCAACAGGGCGAGCTACCAGATGCATGTTCGACGAAGGACATTCGTGCAGCCAGGGACATGCAAGCCCTCCAAAACACAATGTATGGACCTGTCATGTGCACAATACAGCTAACTACCAAAAAAGGGAAGGCCTTGGATGTCGAGATAGCAGATCCAGTGCCATACTTGCACGCACTAGGAAAATGTAACAGGTGGCGTTGTTTCCTCGAGGAAGCGCGCGCAAAGGCGCCTTGTTCGTTGCAATCACCATGGAACATCATTATTTACAGCGACGAGGCCAAACCTGGTAATAAGCTCAAACAGTGGAATAAGAGGGCCACGCAAAATCTGTACATGTCGTTTCTTGAGCTGGGCGCGGCAGTCCTTTGCAAAGAGGACGCTTGGCTCTGCGTCGGCTGCGTCAGAACCGTGGACATCCAGGACTGCGAGGCTGGGATGGCGCAGCTCATGGGTGCAGTCTTACTTCGTATGTTCAATCCAGATGGCCACGATTTGGAGCATGCTGGCGTAAACGTGGACTACGGTGACGGGAGCGGGTTCAGGCTGCACGCGGTGTTCAGCATCATGCTGGGCGATGAGTCAGCGCTCCACAGCGTTTGGCTCTGCAAAGGGAGCGGGGGGACGAAATGCTGCCTGCACTGCTGCAACATCGTCAACAAGAACTGGCTTGCTGCTGGTGAACTCGAGGGGGCTGCCCATCTCAAAGATTACTCCAAGGTTTTTTCTCTTCGAGAATGCGAGCCTACAACCAAGGCTATGGTGCTGCACATAATCGACGACCTTGCCATGTCTAAGCCTGCAATGAAAAAGGGGCTGTTCGAAGATAAAGAACAGCGCCGTGGTTGGGCGCATTCTGGCTTCAATATGTTGCACAATCGTAAGCTGAGAGAAATCCTGGACCCGCCGCTGCAAAACGTTTACGATTGGGTTCACAATCTGCTCCAGGGCATATTTCAACAAACACTATTTCTGGCCTTATGGGCGATTAGCTTCTCTGGCTTCAAACCGTCGCACGTTCTTAAATTCATGGAGTCTTTCACGTGGCCGAGGCGAATATCAAGCAAGGGCGTCACAGGCATTGACATGTGGAAACAAAAGCGGGCCGACTCTAATTGGAAGAAGGCGTATTGGAGTTGCAGCGCTTCCGAGGCGCTGAGCATGCATCTCCCGATAGCACATTTCTTCAGAACCAGGATCCTTCCCAGTGGGTTGCACAATGATGAATGCGAGGCGATTATCACATGTTGCACGCTCGTACAATTCCATTGGAGTACGGCTAAATTGGGCATTTCAAGCGAGGCAATTGCGCGGGCCACTGAGAATTTCCTTCGAGCCTCTGAGAAGGCTTTCGGCACAGACGGGGCGTTGTGGAAACACCATGCGATCTTGCACCATTCAGCCTACGTGGCGAAGTGGGGGTGGTCGCCCCACACGCTGCCGCTAGAGCGCAAACATAAATCAGTGCTCAAATTTGGAGAAGACCATCAGAAAGACACAAAGGCCGTGATCCGAGAAGTTGTGGCAGAGAGTTTTTTCAACTTGCACGACGCACCTTGGCTAGACCTTGCTGTAGGATTGGTAGCGCCGACTGCGCCGAATAAGAAGTTGTGCAAGTTTTTAACAGAAGTGTTCAGATCAACAGACCACCAAGCATCTGGCAAAGCCAGGTTTAACGAATTCGATGTTGCATGGGTTCGTGATTTCGTGGCTGTCAGATCCACTGCGGGTTGGATCGTTGCTCGGGTGATTTTCTTTGCGTCGACGAATTCTGTGCCGTACGCTGCAGTTCAGCCTTTCAGGTGCCTGACAAAAAAGCCTTGGCACAGCACGTGGACAAAGTCAGGTGAGCCTATGTTTGCGGACTTGGTTGATTTGATTGAAGTGTTGACCGTTTGTGGCAACGACGCTGTCTTAACTGTACTTCATCCCCTGGCGCTGGTGGAGTAAAGCATAGCACAAAAACTATAGTCCTCCTCCCCCACCACCTGGGAGTGGATTAGCCCTCCCCCTTTTCAGGTATTCCCCCCCTCCATCCTCTGTCGAAACGTGTGAGGGGAGTGCCGAAATTATATGCTGGGAAGCATATGAACATGCACACTTGGGCCTTCCGTGGAGCTACCTATGTGGCAACGAAGCGTGTGAGGATGTGCCGAAATGAAAAGCGTCTGCTCCGTTCCTCCTCTCCCCTCCCCCTGTCCCCCCTAAGACCCCCGACACAGATCACGGCTAGCGTCAACTCCGCCGCCCCACTTTTATCGCCAGGGGCCCAGGCCTTGTGATCCCTCGTACGATACGATAGGTCGCCGTTTTAGGCGGCAGCCCGATCCATTTTGACCGCGCCTCGGCGGCCACGCGTGGTGGGTCTGGCGAATTTTTCGGCGATCGTAGCTTCGATTTGTATTTTAGTGGGGGGTCGACGTGACCCGCCGCAGCCTGGAATTCGTTACGCGTCCAACCTCGTAGCATTATTTCTCCCCCATGAACACAACAAAAAAAATGCTCCGCTGGAGTTACTAACTTGATTAGGGGGTTAGCTAACCTACTTAGCGGGGCTTAGCTAACCCGTTCAACCCCACAGGCGGATTTAGCTAACCCTTGGTAACGCGATAGTAAACGCACTAGCAACCCGATGTAAATTGATTAGCTATCACGGCTAGGAAGGTTTAGCGAACAAGTTATCAAATATGTAGCAACCCGCTGTAAGAGAGCGTAAAGGGTGCAACCGCTTGTAAGGCTTACCAAGCCGGCCTCCCTTCCAAGCGACCCCTTTGGGGCCAGCACCACGCGCCCCGATTGCCCCAGCAGGCTGCCTGGGCCCCCTTCCCGCAGCAGGGCCCGCTTACCTTGCCCCCGAGTCGCCCTTCTGCGCGGCCCCGCGGCCCGACCCCGGCCCCTGGCGGCCGAAGAGGATGACGAACGGGCTGCCACCCGGTGTGGCTCGCTGCGCCAGCTGCCGGGTGGGCGCTCCCCGGCCAGGCCGCCCCCGAGCCGCCGCCGCTCTCCGAGAGGAGCGCTCCCTCGCCCGCGGCAGCGGCCGGCGGGATCCGCGGCGGCAGGCGGCGGCGGAGGCGGGAGGAACACAGCCCGTGCGCCGAGGTGCGAGCCGGCGCCCGGGCGGGCTGTCCGAGGAGGAGGAGGGGGAACAAGAGGAGGAGGAGGAGGAGGAGGAGGAGGAGGAGGAGGAGGAGGAGCCCCAGTCATCCCCCAGGTACGTCCGAGGAGGAGGAGGAGGAGGAGGAGGAGGAGGAGGGAGGAGGAGGAGGAGGAGGTAGGAGGAGAGGAGGAGGAAGTGTAGGAGGAGAAGGAGGAGGAGGAGGAGGAGGAGTTGGAGTTCGAGGAGGATGAGGAGGAGGAAGAGGGAAAGATGCCGATAGTGGTCTGGCGCCCGTCCTTCGTCGCCACGGCTGGATTCGAATCGGGATCTGTATATTCGTAGTTCCCCCAGGGGAGGGAGGGAGGGTGAGGGGGAAGGATCGGAGTAGAAATGACTACATAACTAATCAACAACTTTTCGAAGGTGTCCTTCGAAGGTGTCCCCTGCTCCTTGTCCCCTCATTCCCCTCCTCCTCCTCCTCCTCCTCCCCCTCCTCCTCCTCCTCCTCCTGCTCCTCCTCCTCCCCCTGCTTCTCGAGGTCCTCCTAGTTGACGTCGTCCTCCTCTGAGGTCCTGCTCTGCGTCCTCGTCTTGGTCGACGTCCCCCTCCACCTCCTTCTCCTCCTTGTTCCTCCTGCTGCTCCTCCTCCCGCCCTCCGCCCTCCTCCTCCTCCTCCTCCTCCTCCTTCTGCTTTTCTCCATTTCGGCTAAACTCCCAGCAGGGACAGTATCCATTCAAACCCTTCGATCCTCGATCTCCTCCCCTTCCACCTCTGTGAGGCTGTCTTTGAAGGGTCCTCCGACAAGCCAGGTTATCGGGCCCAGCCGATCCCCCCCTTTAGATAGCCTGATCCTGTCGGCTGCGCAGGTCCGACGTGGGGTGCGCAGTACTGGTGCGCGCGGGCAGGCGTGGGGCTGCCCAGAGCGCACAGGTTAGGTTCTCGGCCGGCACCTCGCCTCTCCCCCCCCGGCGGGGCTCGAGAGCCGGGGGTCCATGCACACGGGGGTCAGCCAGAGCGCCGGATGTTCGGCAGGATCCTGCAGAGCCAGGGGTGCATCGCCCCGGGCCTGCGTGCAGGATATCCTGCGGGATCTTGCAGGACCCTTCAGGGCCTGATTGCCCCGGATTTGCGCTGACCCGGGTCAGTAGGTCCCCGACCCCCACCGGACAATCGGGGCTATCGCCGGACACATGGAGCAGAAAAGCCGCTCTCGTTCCTGGTCGCCGCCACCGCTACTTGTGCGTCCACTGCCGTCGCCCCCGCAGGCCACCAGCGGCCACGTTGATCCTCGAATCCTCGACCCTCGAACCTCGATCCTCGATCCTCGCCGCCGCCGCCGCCGCCCTGGGCGCATGTTTTTTTCGATGCGTGGGCTCCCAGACCTTTTCGGCCACGCGCAGAGGGGGGCAGGGGGAGGGGGGAAGGCTTCTTGGAAGGAGGCTGCTTCTTAGAAGGCGCGGGCCTGATCTATAGATGCAAGGCCCGCGCCTCTTACGAAGCAGCCTCCTTCTAAGAAGCCTTCCCCCTCCCCCTACCCCCTTGTGCGCGCCGCCAGCCTTTGAACCCCTTCCCCAGGACCTGCTTGCCATCCCGAGTCGTTTTGTCACGGCCTCAGGGGCCCGAGGCCGGCATCCGTGAGGAGAAAAGTCGCAGCACACCTTTGGAGGCGCCGGGGCCGGAGGTTGCTGGGCCATCCTTGAGGACGACGATCAGTGGAGAGGCAGCATATGTCGCCAAATCATCCCCAGAGGTCCAAAGCATGTCTTTATGATGTTCAAAACCTGCTTTTTATACGCGTTTTTGAAGCGTTTTTTTTCTACACCTGAAGCGCATTTGGAATCCAACGACAGGGCCGTTAGGGTGCCCACTGCCGTGGCATCCACAAGGCCGTCTCTCCTCGGGGGCCTCCCGCGGCCGTGTGGGACGAGCCGGGGCCCCCCCCCCCCAGAGCTCCCTCGGCGAGGCGCAGCTGCTGGCACGCATCCCGACGTCAGGAAGGCCTCCCGCAGCCGACGAGCACCCAGACCCCCGACGGTGGTGGTGATGGCGTGGAGGAGGAGGAGGAGGAGGAGGAGGAGGAGGAGGAGGAGGAGGAGGAGGAGGAGGAGGAGGAGGAGGAGAGCCGTCACATGTGACACCTTCTCGTCGTGCCTTTCCTGCGACGTGGGCCCCCCGGCGGTCTGGACCTGCTCCCCGGCACCGCTTTTCTTCCGTCCCGCGAGCCGTGCTCGGACGGCCCCGAGGGCCGGCCCGGGCCTCCCCGGAGGCCGAGCGCACAGCGAAAGACCTCCCGCCGCGGTGCTCTAGACCCAGACAGGCGACGTCCTGATGTCTGCAGGACGGCGCCCCCGGAAGTCCCGACCCTTTCCCCAGGACCGCTTCTTCGTCCCGAGTCGTTCTGTTGACGCTCCCGAGGTCCGGCCAGGGCCTCCTGGGGCCGAACAGACTGCTCCCAAACCGCCCGCCCTGTTACTCCCAAACCGCCCGCCCTGGTGTTTTTTTACGGCGCGATCCTGTCTGGGGTCGCGGTTCTCTGTCGTAGCTCGCGGGCCCGCCGCCGCCGACCTTTTTTGTTGCCGGGCCCCCTGCCGGCCGCAGCGCGCCTCGCCGCCAGGCCAGGGTTGCGTCGGGCACGTCCCTCTGCGGGAGGAATATCCGCAGACAGTCCAAACAATAGTCTGGGGACGTTTTTTTTTTTTTTTTTTTTTTTTTTTTGTTTTTTGGTTATTTGGCACATTTTTGAGGCACTTCTGGTGTTCCGTCGGACATCGGCCTGCAGGGGGTCACGCCCGACCTAAGGCCAGGACCAGGGCCTGGCCCGGGGCTTCGGCACACCAAGACGGCCCAGCTCGTGCAGTCGGACCGAGGCGTCAGATCGAACTCGGTTCGGGGAGGGTGCCCTACTCCGAGTTTCTTAATAAGCGTCGGGAGGTGCGCCACCCCCGCCGACAGCCCCTCATCGACCCCCGTCGCGGCGCGACGACGAGGCTAGTTTGACCCCCGTCGGGGGGGTTTGCCCCCACGCTTATGAAGAAACCCAGAGTCATCTTCTTCGTGCTTGTTGGACGCTCTTGTGCATCCTGGGGAGGGCACCCTTGGATGCTCTGTTTGTTTTGGCCAGCGGAGGGTCTCCTGACAGCGCGACGGCGAGAGCCGCATTTTGGAAAAGACCCGCCCCCCATCCGTGAAGTTGATGCACACTTCAATCTTGAGGACTACCAGTGCTGAGGGGGGCTCAGGCCATGGGCGTGCGGCAGGGAGGAGCGCATGGCGGACGTAGGAGGAGGAGCGGCGGTGCGACCCATCCCTCCGAGGCGCCCGGCCCGCCCCACCGACACGTCTGGGCGTGCGGCAGGGAGGAGTTTTTTACAAGGGGGGGCGTGGAGGACGTAAGAGGAGGAGCGGCGGTGCGACCCATCCCTCCGACGTCGAGCTTTCTTATCCCGCCGCGACGGCCAGCGGATGCTCTAGACCCAGACATGCGACGTCCCGATTTTTTCAGGACGGAGCCCCTGGAAGTCCCGACCCTTTCCCCGGGGCCAGCTTTCCGTCCCGAATCGTTTTTTGACGGCCCCGAGGCCCGGCGAGGGCCCCCAAGGGCCGAAACTGGTGGAAAACTTGCCGTCCTGATTTTCTTCGACGCGATCCCAGAGATCCGATGTCGTGATTTTTTCAATACGGGGTCCCCGGAAGTCTCGACCCATTCCCCAGGACCGGCTTTTCATCCCGAGTCGTTTTTTGACGCTCCCGGGGCCCGGCGGGGGCCGCTGGAGGCAGAAAATCTAGCAAAACCTCCGTCCTGATTTTTTCAATGCGCTGGAGGTCTGGGATCCTGTTCAGGGAGGCACGTCCTTCCTGCCCGGGCCCGGCTGCGCAGGCACGGCCCCGCTCCCAGACCCCCGACGTCATGAAATGTTCATGACGTCGACCCCCCGCAGTCTGGACCCATTCCCCAGGACCCGTTTTTCGTCCTGCGTCGCTTTTTGACGGCCCCGAGGGCCGGGAAGGGCCCCCAGGGGCCAACAACATCGAAAGCCCTCCCGTTGTGTTTTTTTCATGACGCGAGGGGGTCTGGGCTCCTGTCTGGGGAGGCACGTCCTTCCTGCCCGGGCCCGGCTGCGCAGGCACGGCCCGCTCGTGCGTGCGCTGCCGCGGGGCCGGCCTGCCGCGTATGTGCCCCACGGCAGGCCTGCGGGTCGCCCTCTATAGCGTGGCCCCCCCCCCGGCGACGAGCGCGGTGAACGTGGAGCCCCTGCCCCGGGGACCAGCTCCCAGACATGCTCGCGGCGCAAAATCGGGGGCGGAAAAGAGGGGGGTGATGACTAGGGGGGGTGGATATCATGGCGGGGGCCATGATATTTCCCCAGATTTTATGGCGCTTCTTCTGATTTCATTACGTCCCTGGCCCCCCCGCTGGGCCGCGCACATGCCGCCGGTCATGATTTGCACCCCCCCCTCTTGGACACCCCCCTCTTGGCCGCTCCCGACAAAAGAATCAGGACCCCAGACCTCCTCGCGGCATGAAAAATCACGACGGGGGGGTGTTCGTTGTTTTTGGCCTCTGGGGGCCCTTACTGGCCCTCGGGACCGCCAAAAAACGACTCAGGACGAAGAACCGGTCCCGGGGAATGGGTCCAGACTGCGGGGGGTCGACGTCATGAACAATTCATGGCGTCGGGGGTCTGGGACGGCAGGTTTTTCACAAGTTTCGGCCCTTGGGGGACCTCGCCGGGCCTCGAGGCAGTGAAAGAACGACTCCGGACGAAAAACTGGTCCCCGGGAAAGGGTCGGGACTTCAAGGACGCCGTGCTGAAAGAATCAGGCCTCCCGAGCCGTTTTTTGGCGTTCCCGCGGGCCGGCGAGGGCCCCCACACAGGGGCCCAAAACGGCCCAACACCTGCCCGTCGTGTTTCAGGAAGGAAAAGGGGGAAAAACACAGAAACAATTAATTGCCCAATCCCCTATAGAAAATGTGGTGAAATATGGGAAGTGGGGGGAAAGACAACAACCCAGAAAAGATGGGGACATTTGGGGAATGCGTTCATGTGTGTGTGTATTTATTTATGTGTCCCAGGGCCCCTTCAGTGTTTTTTTCACGACCCGGAGGGGTCTGGGCTTATGTTTGGGGTATTCCTTCATTTTTCGTCGACAATCGCCCTGTAGGGGGACAGGCCCGACTTAATGCTGGGCCCCACGCAGCTCCAAGCCGCGCGAGAAGCTTGTGGACTGCTGCCCGTGCCCCGTGTCGTGCGTCGTTCCGCTCCTTGCGCCGCTCGAGGCGTGGCGCCGCACGGCCGTCTGCTCGGCGCGGCACCGGGACCTGCGGGCCAACGGGCTCTATCCACATCCACTGCGTGTGGGGCTCCTCTCTGAGAAGGGGCGCCACAAGGCCGAGGCGCAGTGGATGCGGATCAAAATCTAGCCTCTGGGGCAGCGGACTGCGAGACTGTCAACACTTTGGAAGGCTGCCGGGGGAGGGTTCTATCGGGGTGACGCCTGACGCAGACCTGCAGTAGACCGTGTCATCCCTGGGGGGGGTGCGAACTTCAAGACCGGCGCCTCGTTTGAGGGCTGCTGGGGGGTCCAGCGGAGTGACGTCATACGCAGATTCCGATTAGAACTGGCCATCTGGGGGCGGGGGGGACGTGGCTGCGAACAGCGAAATCGTCGACGCGTTCGAGGGCTGCTGGGGGGTCCAGTGGAGTGATGCCTTTCGCAGACTCAGATTAGACATCGCCATCCCTGCGGGCTGCGAACTGCGAAACTATCGCCACTTTCGAGGCCTGCTTGGGGGTCCAGCACGGTGACGTCCTACGGAGACTCCGATTGGTTCTCGCCATCCGGGGGGCTGCGAACTGCGAAACCATCGCCACTCTCGAGGGCTGCTGGGGGTCCAACTGAGCAGCGTCTTACGGAGACTCAGCGCCTCGATTTCTCGTGGCGCCTCCGCCAGTTCCCGGCTCCTCCCCGCGGTGGGCCGGGGTCGTGTACGTCGTGCCACGGGCGGGCATCCCATGTAGCTTGCGCCTTGCGCAACAAAAGGACGATTCTCACACAGCCATCATCCACAACAATGTGGGTCAAGTAACTATCCTGGTCGCTTGATCCAGATGGGTTGGGTACGTCACAGGGTAATTTTCGATTCGGGGTCCGCGGATCTCTGGACCACTCCACGGGACCGGTTTCTCGTCGTGGATCGTTTTCTGACGGTCCCAGGGCCCGGCGAGGGCCTCCAGACGACGAAGCTACGAAAAACATCAGCCTTGATTTTCTAAGCGCCTCAGGGTAGATCTAGAGCTTCTTGTGTGGTAATGGAACTTCTGTGAGGGTAAATTCAGAGCCCGCGTTGGTGTATCCCCAGTCAAAGGCTCAATCTGGTAAATTCATGCTGAATCCGGCTGGCTTCATCCCGCTTAGTCCAGCTTGATTCATTTGAATACGGCTTAATCCTTGGCTTCTTCCGGCCTGCCCAGTTCAATGGCCACTCAATCGGGCTTAACAGCCCTTATATCGTTCTGGCGAAGATCACCCAGTCTCGCTAACTTGTCCGTCACCGTTGTGGCTCAAGGCTCCTGGTTCTTGGCAGATTCCATCCTGCGCATGCGTTCGGTTCGCCATCATGCCTAAACCTGTGTCGCTTGCAAGCTTGATTGGCTCGGACGAAGTGCACACCCACTGTGGCGAAGCGCCTAGTTGGCCCATCCTTCCCAATGGCAGAACCGCTGGTGCCAGTAACCCGCATTACGCATATCGTGACTTCTTCTCATTATCCAGTGCTGGACACAAAAGAAAGCATACTTCTTTCTCAGATGGCGCAGCCCGGTCAGAGCCGCATTTGTCTAGACCTAGTGGGAAAAAGTTGAGTGGCAGACCTACGCAATTCGAGACCATAGAGGGCATCGCGTCAATCAATTGGGACAATGTGGGGGAGTGCGAGAAATTTGGGGGAAAATGTGAGTCAAGTACAATTCAGACCGACGACGGGAACACAGGGATGAGCTTGATCATGGATGGGGCAGAGAAGATTGGAGGAAAATTCGGGGATATAGTCGGTGACGTTTTAGGCTCAGTCGCAGCGCCCATTGGTGTCGCTGTTGGCCTCAAGAGCACTGCAAACGTTCAAGCCGAGATTGCAAAACTGGAACAATCGCTGAAAGAGGCACACAACGAGAAAGTTCACGATTTTATTACGTGCCTTCTCAAACAATCCAAAGTCAAGCGGAATCTCGTACTCTTTGCGACAGGAGCAAAAGCTGCTGGGACATTTGCAGCACCGGCAACGGGAGGAATTTCTGCTCCCGCGGGCCTTGCTGCAGGAGCTCTATGTGACGTGGCAGCCAAGGCACATAAAGCAGGAACGTGCAAGAATCTTGAGAAAGAGCTCTTTCCAAGTTCCGACGTGGAGGGTTTCTGGAAGCGTTTCTTCAGCTGATGCGACCAGTCAGCGTCAGCGTGAAGATTGGAGGGACCAACGACTTGTTCTGCATTGCCCGCGTTACGAACTGGGTTATGGCCACATGTGGCAACGGCCAGCTCTACATAGCTCTGGCACTTGATGCGGTGATCGCGTGGCCAGTGGTTTCGGACAATTTTCCAGCGACGCCCAGCGAGCCCATGCAGCTGATTGTTGTCTTAGAAAACCCGTGCATCTTGATCTTTGCAGAGTGAGACTGGGGGCGATGAAGCGAACGAGATACGTAAGTAAGAGAGCACAATGAGCCGTTTCCTAACTCGTGTGGGGGGCGGGGGCGCTTTCCCTCTCGAGGCGAGGACGAGCAGGCGAGGAGAAGAAGCGTCATCGCGGACGGCGCTCCGGAGGAGGATCTTTCGGTGGGGCAAGACCGAGGAGGAGGAGGAGGAGGAGGAGCAGGAGGAGGAGGAGGAGGAGGAGGAGGAGGAGGAATACGCCCCTCATCATGTCTCTCTCTCCCTCTCTCTCTATATATATATATATATATGTATATAAATACCTATATCTGTCCATCTCTCTCTCTTTCTCTCTCGATCCCCCTCTCTCATCGCCTCGACGTGGCCCCTGCGAGGGCCCCCCCACGGGCGCCCCCTGCCCGCTCCTCGTGCCGGGGGGCCCGGCGGCGGGCGCCTCCCGCCTCCCCCCGCCCGGCCCGGCCAGGAGCCGGAGCCCGACGCCGCGGGGGCGGGCCCGCGACGGGGCAGGCGGGGCTCAGGCGGCCTGCCTGCCCCCGCGGCAGGGTGCGACCCGCTGCGCTGCCCGGGGGAGGGGGGGGAGGCGTGTGCTCAGAGCCCCGAATCATCAGGGGTAACTCTCGGGCCGGACGAAAGGGGGGGATTGGGAAAGGGGGGGTTACGAAATTTGCTGCATGCAGCTGGTTTCGGCCTCACCGAGGGGCCCATTCCTCGATACATAGCCGCCTCTGGCGCCAGGAGGCGCCGGGAAAATCAGCTACGTGAGCTGATTCTCAAACCCTCCCTTTGCTATCCCCCCCTTTCGCCCGACCCGAAACTCGGGTCAGGGCTAACTCGGCTTCGTTTTTCGGGATTCCGAACCCGACTTACCCCGGACCCGACTTACCCCGGATGATTCGGGCGTCCAGAGCCCCGAATCATCATGGGTAACTCGGGTCAGGGCTAACTCGGCTTCGTCTTTCGGGATTCCGAACCCGACTTACCCCGGACCCGACTTACCCCGGATGATTCGGGCGTCCAGAGCCCCGAATCATCAGGGGTAACTCGGGTCAGGGCTAACTCGCGGCTTCGTTTTTCGGGATTCCGAACCCGACTTACCCCCGACCCGACTTGCCCCGGAGAATTCGGGCGTGCAGGGCCCCGAATCATCAGGGGTAACTCGGGTCAGGGCTAACTCGGGTTGGTTTTTCGGGATTCCGAACCCGACTTACCCCTGACCCGACTTACCCCGGATACTTCGGGCGTCCAGAGCCCCGAATCATCATGGGTAACTCGGGTCAGGGCTAACTCGGGTTGGTTAACTTCCGACCCCGACTTACCCCGGATACTTCGGGCGTCCAGAGCCCCAAATCATCAGGGGTAACTCGGGTCAGGGCTAACTCGGGTTGGGGATTCCGAACCCGACTTCCCCCTGACCCGACTTACCCCGGATCATTCGGGCGTCCAGAGCCCCGAATCATCCGGGGTAACTCGGGTCAGGGCTAACTCGGGTTGGTTTTTCGGGATTCCGAACCCGACTTATCCCGGACCCGAGTTACCCCGGATAGTTTGGGCGCCCAATGTGCCAGGATGCTCGGGTTAAGTTGGGCGTGCCCCCCTACAGGGGGATTTTCGACGAAAAATAAAGCATACCCCAAAAAGACTTCCAATGGTCAAAAAATACTAGAAAAAATAGTCTCCAGTCTATGTGTTAAAATGATGTGTTTGAATATTGTTTGGGTACCGTGTATTTTTCGTCGAGCATCTCCCTGTAGGGGGGCAGGCCCGACATGCTCGGGCTGGGCGAGAGGCCCGGACGTGCTCGCGCCCTGCAAGATCGGCTCGACGTAAAGAGAGTGGCCCTTCGCCGGAGTGGCCTTTTTGGGCGCGGGCCCACGGGGGCCCCACGATCGACGAGCGCGGCGCGAGAGTAGCGGCCTACGCGCTTGGGTTTGGCCCCTCTGCGCCCCCCCAAAGGCTGCGCACCAGAGGTCACTCCTACCCAGGGTCGCTCTTGCGTGTGGCCGACGAAAGGGGGCCAGGAGGCTTTCGGCTGCCCTGGGCCTCTGCAGAGGGCCCTTGCCGGGGCCCCAGGGCTGTCAGAGAAGACGGCCCATGGGAGGAGAGGCCGGCCCCGGGGAGAGGCCCTCTCCACGACGCTCTCTGGCGTCGCCCTGATGCCGACCCGCTCTGCCAGACCGCATATGCACAGATAGGCTTTACTTTACATGTGTTTCAACGTCTGTTTCGTGACCCCCTCTACGGCAACAGACCCGCGCCGGCATCCAAGAGGAGGGGGTCGGGACTATCTGGGGGGCTCCCATGCAGGCCAGAGCAGGACGGCCGCATGGCCAGGGAGGGGGTCCGCGGGCGACGCGTGGCGGGTGCCCCGCCCTCGAGGGTCGGGGGGGGGGTCGGCGCCGCTTCCCCGGGCGGCGGGCGGAGCGGGAGGTCGGCGGCCGCCGGCGGAAGCAGCACGAGAGGGCGGCTCCGCCGCCGGAGGCTCGGAGGTGCGAGGCGGCCTGTCAGAGCCCCGAATCATCAGGAGAGGAAAAAACACACAGACACAATTAGTTTTCGATTTCCCAAAGGAAATGGGAAAATATGGGAAGTGGGGGGTAAGACAGAAACCCAGAAAATATAGGAAAATATGGGGAATATTTTTATGTGTGTGTATTTATTTGTGTGTCCTGGGGCCCCTTCAGAGTCATCCGGGGTAACTCGGGTCAGGGCTAACTCGGGTTCGCTTTTCGGGAGTCCAAACCCGAGTTACCCCGGACCCGAGTTACCCCGGAGAACTCGGGCGTCCAGGGCCCCGAATCATCCGGGGTAACTCGGGTCAGGGCTAACTCGGGTTCCTTTTTTCGGGAGTCCAAACCCGAGTTACCCCGGACCCGAGTTACCCCGGATAACTCGGGCGCCCAAGGCCTCTCGGGTCACTGATCTGGGCCTCCCAGATGTGGTCGGAGTAGATGTGGAGGTCGGAGGATCGCTCCGCATCGCCACTGCATCGCCGATGCGGCTCGGTGTGCAGCCCGCTTCGCTTCACGTCAGCGTCGCCGATGCATCGCCGAAGTCTACGATGCATTGCCGCTGCATCGCCGATGCATCGCCGATGTGTTGGCAATGTGGCGCGATCCTCCGACCCCATCTACTCCGACACCACCTATGAGGCCTCTCGGGTCATTGAGCATAATGCAACCCCTAACCCTGACAGCATCAAGCTTGGCCTGTCCTTTTACAGGGATAATATTCAAACATCGAAAATATAGCCTGGGTACGATGTTCCCATTATTTTTGAGTGCTTTCAATTTTCCTCCGAAACCCACCTGTAGGGGGACATGCCCGACAGCACAGTGAATTCGTGGCCTAACTTAGGCCTTTTGTTTTTAGGGCTATCCCTAAACAAGTGGGTGGTTTCGTCTGTGGCACCTGCAGAGCAGACCCCTTACCCCTACAGTACTGCTCTGGGCCCTCCCAACTGAGGTCCCCTCCCAAAGGATTCGGGGTCCATCGATTGCTGATCTTCGGGTGGGGGGAAGGGGGTGTACCAAGAGCGCGGTTTTGCTGTCCCCTGGCGACCCCCGGCGACAGTGGGCGGGACTGGTGGTGATCTTGAGATCCGTGAGTCGGTTCTTTTCGCGCTGGGCGACTTCGCGTTCTTCAGGGTGCGAGGCTGCTCTGGGTGGGGAGAAGTGTACCAAGAGAACGTTTTTTTGTTTCACTCCCCTGGCGATACGGGATGGGTTGCAGTGTACCTCGGCCATGCGCAGAGGGGGACTAAGGGGGAGGGGGGAAGGCTTCTCAGAAGCACCCTTTGCTCTTGGAAGGCGCGGGCCTCATCTATAGATGTAAGGCCCGCGCCTTCTGAGGAGCAGCCTCTCTCTAAGAAGCCTTCCCCCCCTCTCCCTTGTACCCCCCTTCTGTGCGCCGCCTCCCCTATTACCCCGCCTCCCCTGTTACCCCCCTCTCTCTGAGAAGCCTTCCCCCCCTCTCCCTCTGTACCCCCCTCCTGTGCGCCGCCAGCCGCTCATCGGGTCGGGCGAGAAGGGGGGCGTGCGAAATCTGCTGCTTTGCAGCCGGCTCCCGCCGCCCGCCGCGCTCCTGGCGCCGGGAGGCGCCGGGAGGCGCCCGGGAGAACCAGCCACGTGAGCTTCGCGTTCGAATTCACGTGCGTTTGACAATATTATAGATATTTGTTGAGTCTTGCTGGTTTTTCGTCGAAGATCGGCCTGTAGGGGGACATGCCCGACCCAACGCTCATCCCGCCTTTGCTACCCCCGCTCTCGCCCGACTCGACCTGGCGGCCGCCGTGGGTCGGAGAAACACACACCGCCCGAGCATGATCTTTCGGAGCTCCGCGCGGATCTCTTGGACCTGCGCTGGGTCCCCCTTGCGGGGCCTCCGGCGCCGCCCCCGGCGCGAGGAGTGGGGGCCGCCCAGTGCCCGTCCCCCAAAGTTGTGCGGAGCTGCGGCAGTGTACTTTTATGATGATGTATGATGTTTGTTGCTCGTCAGCGTAGGAGCTCCTGCTGGGAGCCCGTCAGCATGTTGCGATCAAGCAGGATCAAGACTGAGTAGCTTTCCAAGGGTGCCATTGCGTCCTTGCCCTCTGGCCCATCCGAACCCTCAGCCATGGGCCGTCGGCTGTCAACTTCGGCTTCAATTCGGGCGTCCGAAGGCCTTGCATCCTTACCGCGCACGCTGATGATCTGGCGGCGCTGATGATCCAGTCGGGCTGATGGTCCGGACGCCTATTTGTCAGAGGAGCGTTGTTTGTATGATGGATTCCTCACGGCAGCGTGCCGTTGATACTGCTTTTGCTTCCCCATGCGCTGGAGGTGGATCAGGGTGGACTGGGGTTCGATCCCTTGTTTCCGTCAGCTCCGGCGATAAGAATGTCTAATCCCGGCGTCTCTCTTCGGTTTCGGCCTCCAGGAGCCGTCGCCGGGCCTTTCGATTCGGGGCGAAAACTTGCCCCCAGGCAAGGGGTCGGGAGCTCTGGCCCTGAGATCCGACGTTGCAGAAAATGGCAACATCGCAAAAAGATCACGACTCGAGCCCCAGACCCCATCTTATTGCATCATTTTGCAAGCCGGATCGATCTGTGAGGGTCCTGGGCCCCGAAACTGGACGAACTCGTAGCGAGAAAATCACATCTCCAGGACCTTTGGAGGGACTTTGGATTTGTGCAAGGTGCAGAGATAGTTTGTGCCGAGGCGGGTCTCGCCGGTGCGGCTCGTCTCGAGCCGCAGGTGGCAGCAGTGCGCGAGCGGTCTGCAGTGAAGTTGCGGTGGCGAGAACATCTGGCTTCACGTGCCCTCCCTCCTTCCCTCTCTTCCTCGTGCTCCCTCTCTCCCTCCTCCTGCCGCCTTGCTGTCCCCTCGACGCTGGGCCCCTCCTCCTCCCTCCTCTCTCCCTCCTCCCGCCTTCCTCCTCCTCCCGCCTCTACTCAGGACCTTTGGGTGATGAGTCTGACATCTCCTAGTCTGGGAGGTCCTCTGTTTTCTTATCGCCCCCTGAGGCTCAGGTCACTCTGACTCAGGGCAGGCCTTCGCGCGCGCGGGCGCGGGCTTGTGAGGACGCGTGCGCGCGTGCGCGCGCGCGTGTGTGTGTGTGTGTGTGTGTGTGTGTGTGTGTGTGTGTGTGTGTGTGTGCGTGCGTGTGTGTGTGTGTGTGTGTGTGTGTGTGTGGTGCGTGCGTGCGTGCGTGCGTGCGTGCGTGCGTGCGTGCGTGCGTGCGTGTGTGTGTGTGTTGTGTGTGGTGTGTGTGTGTGTGTGTGTGTGTGTGTGGTGTGTGTGTGTGTGTGTGTGTGTGTGTGTGTGTGTGTGTGTGTGTGGTGTGTGTGTGTGTGTGTGCGTGTGTGTGTGTGTGTGTGTGTGTGTGTGTGTGTGTGTGTGTGTGTGTGTGTGTGTGTCTGTGTGTATGTCGGCCTGGTTGACGTTAGCACCCCTCCCCCCTCTCCCCCCCTCCCCCCTCCTGCACCTCCCCCTCCCCCCTGGTTCAGGGATCAAGGGTTCAGGAGGAGGAGATCCGAGCATCGAGGTTCGAGGATCGAGATGGAGGAGGACTGAGGAGGCCAACCAGCTTCGAAAGCTTCGAAGCTCGACCCTCTCCCCGAACCTCGAGCCGCGATCCCACCCCGAGCCCAAGCAACCTAGATACTCGATCCTGAGTCCTCGATCCTCCCCACGCTCCCCCCCCCCAAGCTTGGAAGACCCGCGCAGGCGGCGCCGCCGCTGCAGCCGCTGGTCGAGTCGGACGCAGCGGCACCGACGCGCCAGGCGTGTCGTCGTCGTCATCGTCGTCGTCTCCTCGTAACTATTCCTCCTCGACTTCTTCTCGTCCTCCTCATCCCCTTCCTCTTGCTGGCGCGCACAAGGAGGCGGCGCGAGGGGAGACACCTTCTAAGTAGGCCGGGGGCTTCTTAGAAGCTACGGGCGTGCTTGGAAGGACCTCAGGCTTTCAAGAAGGCCTCTTCGAAGCAAGAAGGGTTTCCAAGCGCGAAACGCCAGACACTCACAGGCAGGTTGGGCGGGCGGACCTTCACGGGCGGGTCGGGCGGGCGGGCGCTAACGGGCGGGTCGGGCGGGCGGGCCCTGACGGGCGGGCCGGGCGGGACATCGAGGCGGACACCGGGCGGGCGGACCTCCACGGGCGGGTCGGGCGGGGATCCTAGCGGGCGCGTCGGGCGGGCGGACCCTGACGGGCGGGTCGGGCGGAACATTCCGGCAGGCGGGCGGGCTTCCAAGCACTCGAGACGCCAGACGCTGACGGGCAGGTGTCGGGCGGGCGGACCTCCGCGGGCGGGTCAGCTGGGCGGACCCTGACGGGCAGGTCGGGCGGATTATCCCGGCGGGCGGGCGGGCTTCCAAGCACGCGCGACGCCAGACGCTGTCAGGCGGGTCGGGCGGGCGGGCCTCCGCGGGCGGGTCGGGCGGGCGGGCACTAATGGGCGGGTCTGGCGGGCGGGCCCTGACAGGCGGGCCGGGTGGGCCATCAAGGCGGGCGGGCGGCCCTCCAAACACGCGAAACGCCGGGCCCTGACAGGCGGGTCGGGCGGGCGGACCTCCTCGGGCGGGTCGGGCGGGCGGACCCTAACGGGCGGGTCAGGCGGGCGGGCCCTGACGGGCGGGTCGGGCAGGACATCGAGGCGGGCGGGCGGGTTTGAAGCGGGCCAAGCGCCAGACACCGACATGCAGGCTGGCCGGGCGGACCTCCACGGTCGAGGCGGGCGGGCGAGCTTCGAAGCACGCGAGACGCTGGACACTGACAGGTAGGTCGGGCGGGCGGGCCTCCGCGGGCGGGTCGGGCGGGCAGACTCTAACGGGCGGGTCCGGCAGGCGGGCCCGGCGGGTCGGGCGGGCTTCAAGCGGGGCAAACGCCATTTACTGACAGGCAGGTCGGGCGGGCGGACCTCCTCGGGCGGGTGGGGCGGGCGGTCCCTAACGGGTGAGGTGTGCGGGCGGGCCCTGGCGGGCGGTCTTGGCTGGACGTCAAGGCGGGCGGGCGGGCGGGCGTCCAAGCACGCGAAAGCCTGACGCTGACAGGCAGGTGTCGGGCGGGCGGACCTCCGCGGGCGGGTCGAGCAGGCGGACCCTGACAGGCAGGTCGGGCCCAATCGGCGGGTCGGGCGAGCCAGCCTTAACGGGCGGGCGGGCGGGCTAGCGATTCACACGCAAATGCGTACAGCATGAAAAGCCTCAGGCGGGAGCGCGCATCCTGGGTGAATTGTGAGGCAGTCTTCGCACGGTCGCGCGATCCCTGGACGTTTTATGCGCAATTCCTGAGTAACATGCAATAATTGTTCTTCAGAAGTGGGAGTTCGACGACGACAGACGACGACAAACGACGACGACACACGGTAGGCGACGACAGGCGACGACAACGACAACGAGAAAGAGAACCACAACGACGCCGACGCCGACGCCGACGCCGAAGGCTGCTGGCGACGACGACGTCCTCGTCGTCGCCGCCGCTGCCGCCGCCGTCGTCGGTAATGTCGTCGTAGTCGTCGTCGCGCGCGCCGCCCGAGGCCGTGTCGCCCCCGGCCTGGATCTCCCCGCCGCGCCCGCCGATGCCGGCGCTGCCGGGGCAGATGCCGTCGCAGCCCAGCTCGCCGCAGCCCGCGCCTCCCGCGGGCCCCGCGGCGAGCAGGCCGCCGGGCCCGCCGTTCTTCCCTCGCGAGCGCCCGTGCCAGCCCTCTGTCGAGGGAAGAACGAAGGCCACTCGGAGATTTATACATAACCTTCGGATGCAACTCCTGGGAGATCAAATTCTGATTTCGCCCTGGTCCGAAATCTGGCTTCCGCCGCTGAATGAATCCAGCTGTAGCCAGCTTCATCCCACCTAATCTGGCCTAATCCCGCTTGATCCGCGGCCCAATCTGGCGCAGCAGCCCGCCAGTGGGGTTCGATTCTCCTGAATCTTTCCGACGACGACCTCCCAGTAGTTACCTCCTAAGTAACCGCCGCTTGGAAGTTCGATTTTCAGGAGGGAAAAAACACTCAGACAGAATTAATCGTCGACTCCCAGGAAAATATTGGAAAATATGGGAAGGGGGGAAGACAATAACCCAGAATACATGGGAAAATATGGGGAATCCTGTTATTTGTGTCTATTTATTTGTGTGTCCCAGGGCCCTTTGTAGATTTTCTCGGGCCTCCGCAGGCGGCGGGTGTGGGAATGCTCGGGCCCCCGGGGTCAAACCTATGTCCACGCCCGCTGCCCGCTGGGCCCCCAGGACGTCGGCGCCCAGGCGGTGGATGTGGATACATCCCCGCCTCGCAACAGAGCGCCCTGGCTCCAGCTGGACTTGCTCCCCTGATGGTCGACCTGGCGAAAAGTCGCAGCACCGCGAGAAGTCGTGCCCGTCTTCGGGCGCCATGTTGTCGAGCCGGATCGTTCTGGCAAGGTCCCGGGGCCCGGAGTAGGGCAACATTTGTGAGGGCACCGGCTCGAAAGAATGGAACGCCAGGACCTCGAGCTCCGCGCAAGAGGTGGCCAAGTCCAGTCGGAGGCCCAGCAGGCGGAGCTCCATGGCTGCAGCGGGACCTGCTCCGCCCGGCCTCCGCGCCGTTGCTGCCCCTCCGTCGTGGTGTCTTTCCTCTGGCCCTCGCGCGTCCGCTTTTTTGGGGCCCTCTGTTCGGTCCTGTCCTGCCTGGGAGTGAGCGCTCGATTCTAAACCACGTCCAAGACCAAATGGCTTCCGCGTCGCCCGGCTCTGGCGGCCTCTCGCCGGCCCTCCTCGCGGCCCTCCTCGCGGCCCTCGTCGCGGCCCTCGTCGCGGCCCTCCTCGCGGCCCTCCTCGCGGCGGCCCTCGCGGCGGCCCCCTGGCGGCCTTGAAGGGACGTCCGCGGCGGCGATAGCGATGTCGTCCGTCGTCCGTCGTCCGTCGTCGTCCGTCGTCGGTCGTCGGTCGTCGGTCGTCGTCGTCGTCGCCGTCGCCGTCGTCGTCACTCGGCTTCGCCATCGTCGTTGGTCCCCACCATCCTCGGCCCCGCGGCGGCCCTCGCGGCGCTGCCCTCGGCGGCCGTCCGCGGAGGTCCTCCTCGTCTGTCTCCCTGTGAGCGCTGCTGGTTCTTCCCCAGGGTAGCGCTCGTTAGCCCCCCCCCCCTCCCTGGTAACGCTGACGATAGTACTTTGGGGGGGGGGCCTGGACCCCCCCCCCCCCATTGCATGATGTGGTGCACACAGGCGATTGATGAGCCTGTGGCGCGGACGCACGCTGGCGGGTGCACGCCGCGGGCCGCCATTACCGTTACCCTCCCGCTCGAACCCCCCCCCCGGGTAGCGACCGTTACCCGTGAAAGAAATAAGGCGGTCACCTTCTCTTCCTCCTCCTTAGATTGCCCCAATTTGATTTTTCACAGCCGTTCCTGCCCGCGCATCCTCCACCAGATCGCTGTGCCTCGTCTGTTTAATCGAACACGCCTACGGCGAATCACCGCCGCCCCCTGCCCTTTCGGAAGCGCGTATGTGGCCGAACGTTGTGGCCAGTTGCCTGCCAAGCTATCTGACCACGTGCTCCCCGAATCGGTTTGGAAAGCTTTCGGGGAACACGTGGGGGAGAATGAGCATGAAAAGGAAAGGAAGAGGCCTCTTGGGCCGTCTGGAGCCGTCGGAATGGCGAGAAGAAACAAATGACAAACTCCTAGAAACACTTGGTGAAAATGACTGATGTTGGTCTCTTCGGTCCGTCCTGGATGACCTCTTGGAGGCCGCTTGGGCCGTCTTGGAGGCCTCTTGGGGGCCTCTTGGGCCGTCTTGGGCAATATTGACGCCCTGTTAGGCCGTCTTGGAGGCATCTTGGGGGGCGAAGCTATCGGACCATGTGTTCCCCGAGTCGGTTTGGAAAGCCTTTGGGGAACAAGTGGGGAAGGAATAGGAAGATGAGGAGAAGGAGGAACAAGGAGAAGGGGGAGGATGCCTCTTCGGAGCCTCTTGAGGCACTCTTGGGCTCGATTGGGCCATTTTGGGACCGTCTTGGAGGCCATGGTGGTGCTATCTTGGGCTCTCTTGGAGCCTCTTGAGGGCCTCGTGGGGCCTTTTTGGGACTTCTCGGGGGCCTCTTTGGCCGTCTTAGGGCGTTCCTGGCCCGTCTGACTCCGTCGGGAGCCGTCTTGGGGGCCTCTCTGAACCAGCTCGGGGTGGCCCGCAGCGCGTGTTGTGCGCCTGGCGCAGGGCCTGCTCCGCACGGCGGTGGCGCAGCTGGGCGCGCAGCCCGCCAACCCCGAGCCATCGGCCGCCGCGGGCCCCCCCGACGGCGCACCGACGCCGTCGCCCGCGCGGACGTGGCCGAGGGCATGGCGGTGGCGATTCGAGCCCAGCCGACGACGAGGACGCCGCGATGGAGCAGGACGAGAAGGGGGCGGCTGGCGCGGCGGCGGCAGGAGGGGCTGCAGTCGACGAGCAGGCGATGCTGACCGACTCGTGGGCGGACTCGCTCCCTGTGCAGCGCTGGCGTCCTGCGGGCAGCACGGGCCACGGCAAGGGCAAAGACAAGAGACAAGGGCAAGACCGTCGTGGACGAGGACGACTAACATTACACGGGCTCTTTGGAGGAGCTCCGCATGAAGGTCGCGGGCCTCAAGAAAGCCGTGGAGTTGCCCCCAGAGGCGGCGGACGCCTCCGACAACTTTCTGCAGCTGAAAGACACATCATATGTAAGGTCTTCATCTTCAAGAAGGCTGGGGTCATGGTTGGTGCGCCGCGCACAGGGGCAGCGGGATGAAGCAGTCTTTCCTCATCGAGCACGGGCGCTGCGCCATCGGGGAGCAGGACAACGGCGGCTTTTGCAAGGCCGCCGTGCGTCTGACTCCGCGTGGTCGGCAGTGAGAAGTCCGACGCGGAGTTCGTCGCTGAGCCACGACTTCTTCTCGGTGCGCGTCGCAGCGCACGCCGCTCCATCTTCGTTGCGGCCCTCGTGGCGATCAGGGGTTGGCTCCAGTACCTCTTCTTCTGAATAAGCGTTGCGCGGGTGGCAGGGCCGCCCATCAGACCCCTAGACGTTGGGTCGTTTTTTTTTTTTTTTTTTTTTTGTTCCCCCCTCTCTCTCTCTCTCTCTCCTTTTCTCTCTTTCTTGTTGTTTCTCTCTCTCTCTCTCGCCATCGCGGCCTTCCCCCCCCGGAAGGTCTAATCCCTGTCTCTGCCCTGCGCCTCCGTACGGGTCGGTAGAGCCAGGCGGTGCGCGCCTCCTCCTCCTCCTCCCTCTCCTGCTCCTCTCAATCCCCTTCTTCCTCCGCCTCCTCCTTCTCTCCTCCCCTCTTCTCCTCCCTCCGCCCATCTCCCCCCCTTTTCCGTCTTCTCCTCCTGCATCCGTCCTTCTGCCTCCGTCCTCTCCTTCCCCCCGCCCCCTGTCGCGGCTGCGCAGGGGCTCCGGCATCGACCCCGCCAGCCTGCGCCTGGACCTCTCGAGGGTGGCCGCTGGCCGCGCGCCACTTCCGGAGAGCAGCGGGGCGGGCTTCCCGCAGAAATCGGTCCGTCGTCGTCGCCGCCGCCGTCTTCATTTTCGTCTTCGTCGTCGTCGTCGTCGTCGTCGTCGTCGTCGTCGTCGTCGTCTGGGTTCGATGTTCGGGTTTCGGGCTTTGGGATGTTTTCGAAGTGTGTTGCTGCTTCTCTGTCGCGGGATGCGTTCCAACGAGCTGCGCCTCGCCGAGCGCTTTTCCCGGGGGTGCCTGGAGCGCCCCGGCGGGTGCCGCAGGAGACCCGAGGTACGACCCGAAGGTCAGAGCTCCTCGCGCCGTGGAAAAAAACAAACCGGTTTGTGTTTGACAGTTTGCCCTTCGGAGGCCTTCGCTGGGCCCCGCGTCACGCATAGGGGGGCAAAAGTCTTCAGATAACCCATCCAGACCTCCAGGGGTCGTCCCCGAAGTGTCGAGGCTTGAGGTCTCCGAACCCTTTTTGGCCCTCCTTTCTGGGCTTCTGGAGACTGGCGGGACCGTCTGCGGGGAGCAGGAGGAGGAAGACCAGTGCGAACCCAAAGCTCATCAACGATATTGCAATGAACTCCTTCCCTCCAAGTTCCCTCTTAGGTTCCTAGAAGGATTCAATTCCATTGAGGGGAGTGCCCCGATGTGAGACAACCGTCTGAACATCCTGCCATGCGCCAGAATCCATTTCTGGGAATTCAACGCCGCGTCTCAGCCTAACTGTTGCGCCTAGACGATCCTGAAACGGGCCGCAACAACATTCGTGGGACGTCAACACCGCGAATCATGCATTCTAGCTGTTGCGCCCTGGTTCTCTGGCATCGTGCCAAAACACCGTTCTTGGGACGTTAGCTGCGAGAATCTTTGAGGCTTTTGTAACTCTTAACGCGAATGCTCGTGGCGCTAAGGCGAGAGCCGCAGTTTGAACAGGTACCGCCATCCATCCGTGAAGCGCATGCAATCTTTTGATGCGAAAGCGTGCGGCGCTAAGGCGATAGCCACATTTTGAAAACGAGCCGCCTCCCATCCGTGACATTACAGCAAGTTGTTAACACGGATGTGCGCGGCCCCGGCCCGCCTGGCGGCGACCGTTTAGGTCGCCACGGGGCGTTGCAGTCAGCGCAGGGTGATGCAGTCAGCGTTCCTCGTCCTCATCCTCTTCTCCTCCTCTCTCCTTCCTCCTCCCCTGCTGGCTTGTGAGTGGCTTCGCGTCCTGGCCAGGCGGAGGAGCGGCCCTGCGGCTCCGCGGGCGCCGCCCCGCCGCCAGACGCCTCGAGATGGCGTTCGCCCGCCTCCCCTCCTTCCTCGTCCTTGTCCTGCTCCTCCTCTGCCTGTCTCCTCTTCGCTCCCCCGTGCACGTCGTCTCACTCGGCCCTGGGCGGTGGCCGCCTGGTTGGAGATAGGTTGCACGACGCTCTGCTGGATCTCCCCCCCTCCCCCCCTCTCCCCCTAATTGGTTGCTTTGCAGCGCACCGCGTGCATGAGCACTGCGTGTGGACCTGTCTGTGCCCGCTGCTGGTTGACCCTGGCCTCTGGCCACACGCCAGGCTTGCCTTGACGCCGTCACCGTCATGGTTATGCGCGGTGCTGGGCGCTTGTGCGCCCGTGTGCCCTCGTTCGAATGTCTTGTTTTAGTTGGCGAGTGTCTGCACCCAACCGCTTTCACCCTCAGGCGTCTCCCTTGCAGCTTGTGGAGCTCCGTCTCCTTCCTCGCGCTCGTCCCCTTCCCGCTCCCGCCTCCGACGTGGTAGGATTCTGGGGTTGTTTCTTATCAGCCACGCCGCCGCACGGGCTTTGACTGAGTATGCACTGTGCGTCACCCGTTATGGACTCGTTGTGTGAGGCCTCATTATATAAGTGGTCGTTTTGACCATGTGGGGATGGATGCACACACGGCGCCGCGGTCCGTTCTCGTTTCCTCCTCCTCGTCTTCCGCCCCTCCGCCGGGATCCCAAGTCCGCGGCCATTTCAAGTTTTTGCTTCCGTCCTTGCCGGGGAACTGTAACGATGTTGTATGCAGCAGGCTCTGTCAGAACGCTTTGGAGTAGAGGACTGGTACCATAGTGTGCATACGGCGTTCGGCTGTCGCCGAAAGTCTGGGTGGCCCCTCGCCCCTGGGTCGCGTTTAAGGGGCCCTCAGCTGCTGTGTCTTCATCGAAAAAATTGTTAACACGGATGTGCGCGGCGCTACAGCGTTAACCACATTTTGGGAAAGACCCGCCATCCATCCGTGAAGCTCTTATGTGCGCGGCGGCGGGGCGAGAGCCACATTTTCATGAGCGCCCGCCCTGCATCCGTGAAGCCTTTGCAGACTTTCAAAACGAATGTGCGCGACGCTCTGGCGAGAACCACACGTTGAAAACCACCCGCCCTCCATCCGTGAAGCGCTTGCAAACTCTCCGCTTAAGGATCATAGCTGGTGAGGACGTCTCAGGCGAAACGCCCGGCCCGCCCTACTGACACGCCTTGGGGCGCGACAGCGAGGGGATGTTTACGAGGAAAGGAATGGAGGAAGAGGGAAGCGGGAGGAGGAGAAGGAGGAGGAGGAAAACAAGGGCAAGGACGAGGACGAGAAGACGCGAAGGACGACGAGAAGGAGGAGGAACACGGAGAGGAGGAGGAGGAGGAGGAGGAGGAGGAGGAGGAGGAGGAGGCGGTGAGGAGGAGGTGGAGGTGGAGGTGGAATTGGAGGTGGAGAAAGAGGAGGGGCCCACGAGGATGAGGATGAGGATGAGGATGATGATGATGATGATGATGATGATGACGATGATGATGATGATGATGATGATGATGATGATGATGATGATGATGATGATGATGATGATGATGATGATGATGATGATGATGATGATGATGATGATGAGCAGGAGGAGGAAAGCGAGCAGGTCGAAGAGAAGTAGCGGACCGATGGGGGAGGAGGAGGAGAATCAATGTCGAGGTCCGACGGCCATCGTCGTCGTCGTTGTTGCGAATTTGTTGGTGCGTTTCTGAAGGCTCTTTCTCGTCGCCATGGCTGGACGCCGCTCGGCAAAATTGGCCAGGTAGGACACCAGGGGTCTGAGGACCGATTCTGATGCTTCGCCGTGAAGAAAAGGTTGCCGAGGGAAATGGGTCGTGAGATTTGTGTGGTCGCTCTCGGCCTTTCGAGGCCCTCTTGGACCCCGAGGCCATCCACAAACGCATCCGGGTGAAACGCCGGCTTACGGTCAGGAGCTACAGTTTAAGGTGTTGCGCCGCTGGCGCTGGCCTACCACGCTTCGGCGCGATACGCGAAGCATGTCCCGGTCCCCAAGCATCAACGTCTTAAGCTTCGCCAGCCTCCTGTCCCGAGGGGCAGAGAGACGCGCCATCAGCCTTTAAGGCATGGCGTGTCGCAGTGGCCGCAGCCGCAATAAGCTAACCGGAAGTTCCTGGCTGTATCCATTCAGAGCCCCGAGTCGTCAGGGTTGGGTCAGGGCAAGCTCCTGCTTTGTGCCTCGGGTGCCCAAACTGGAGTTGACCCGGACCCGAGCTAGCCAGGATACCTCGGGCGCCCAACCACTCCCAACTCATAGGATCTGGGGGTGGTCAGGGATAGCTCCTGCTTCGTGCGTCGGGGGCCCAGACTGGTTATCCTGGATACCTCGGGCGCCCATTCCACTCCCGACTCCTCGGAGTTGGGAGTGATCAGGGATCACTTCTGCTTCGTGCCTCGGGAGCCCAGGCCAGAGTTGCCCTGGACCGGAGCTGTCCCAGACACCTCGAGCGCCCAGCCGCTCCCGAATCGTCGGCGCCTATAGGGTGGTCAGGGAGGTAACTCCTGCTTCGTGCTCCAGGGGCCCGAACTGGAGCTACCCCTGGCATGCCCAGTTTCGCCAAGGAGGAGGAGGAGGAGGAGGAGGAGGAGGAGCAGGAGCAGGAGGAGGAGGAGGAGTAGGAGGAGAAAGAGGAGGAGAGGAGGAGGAGGAGGAGGAGGAGGAGGAGAAGGAGGAGGAGGAGGAGGAGTCAGGATTGGCTTGGTCAGGGGCAATGGATGCGTGTATAAATCTCGCCGCCCAACCGCAGGCCCAGTTCTGCACCCCGGGATTCCATCCGATAGCCCCAGGTCACGGGCCCAGACCCCCGACGTCACAAAATGTTCATGGCGTGGACCCCCAGCGGTCTGGACCCATTCTCGGGCACCGGTATCTCATCCCGAAGACGTTTCTTGACGGCCCCGAGGGCCGGCGAGGGCCCCCATGGGGCCAAACATAGCGAAATCCCTCCCGCGATGATTTTCTTCGTAATCGAGTTGGTCTGGGGACCCAGAGATCCGATGTCGTGTTTTTTCAATGCGGGGTCCCCGGAAGTCTCGACCCATTCCCCAGGACTGGTCTTTCATCCTGAGCCGTTTTTCGACGGTCGCAGGGCCCGGCGAGGGCCGCTAGGGGCCGAAAATCCAGAAAAACCTCCGTCCTGATTCTTTCCATGCGTTGGACGTCTGGGGTGGGTCTGGGTCCAGGCCAGGGGCGCATTGTGCACTGCTCCCGGGCCCGCCACGGGCCTGGCCCCGGGGGGGGGGGGGGGGGGGGGGGTCTCTTGCTGCCTAGCTGTGGCAGAGGTGGGCAGAGCCTGGAGGCCAGCGGAGTCGGTCGGGCGCTCCAGGCGTGCCCGTTGCCCCCCCCCCCCCCCCCCTGAGATCCTGGCGGCTTATATAACTGTTTCGAGCCGGACGTTTTCGCCCAGTCTCGGGCCCTTCGGACCCTCGCGGCTTATGATTCACTGTTTCGAGCCGGGCGTTTTCGCCCAGCCTCGGGCCCTTCGGACCCTCACAGCTGGATCCGGCCTGGAAGATGGCGCAGAAAGATGGGGTCGGGGGCTCCCGGCGTGATTTTTAACGATGTGTCGATTTTTTCCAGACTTCGGATCTCACGGTCGGTCGGTCGGTCGGTCGGTCGTGTCTGGCCTCGCCCTCCCTCCCGACTCGCTCCGTTCCCCTCCGCCCCCGTCCTCCGTGCAGGCGCATCCCTTCCCCCCAGCCCACTCCTCCATGCCTCCTTCCTCCTCCGCTCCACCTTCTTCAATCAACTGCGAGCCCTGTCCCAACGGGTCCAACCGACGCCATGGGACACCCCCGCCCGGGTGTCACCTGGCTGCAGACATCCTTTGAACTCTGAACCCCAGCCTCCGCTTCAGAGATCTGATCTGCAGGGGTGAGATTCGCACGTGGTTGCCTATATCCTGCCTTCTGCCTGCCGCCCAGACCCCCAGCGTCATGTTTTTTGGAGGCGGAGGCGGAGGAAAAGGAGGAGGAGGAGGCGGAGGAGGAGGAGGTGGAGGAGGAGGAGGAGGCGGAGGAGGAGGAGGAGGAGGAGGAGGAGGAGGAGAAGGAGGAGTGTGCAGGAGGAGCAGAGGAGAAGAGGAGGATGGAAGGAGGAGGAGGAGGAAGGAGGAAGGAGGAGGAGGAGAGGAGGAGAAGCGGACCGTGAAGGTGGGGGGGGAGAGGGGCGGGAGGAGGAGGAGGAGGGAGGAGAGCGAGAGAGAGCCGAGAGGAGGAGGGAGGAGGAGGGAGGAGGACGTGAGGGGAGGAGAGACGAGGGGTGGCCGCTCGCTCCCGCCCGAGCGCGCAGGAGGCGCTGCGGCGGGGCGCCTCGCCCAGCGGCAGCGCCAGCAGCAGCTCCAGCCGCTCCGGGTCCCTCAGCAGCTGCCGCACGCCGCCGCTGCAGCCGAGCCCAGAGCCGAGGGGCCCCAAGGCACGGGCCGCTCGTCGTCGTCGTCGTCGTCGTCGTCGTCGTCGTCGCCGTCGTCGTCGTCGCCGTCGTCGTCGCCGTCGTCGTCGCCGTCGTCGTCGTCGTCGTCGTCGTAATCGTCGTCGTCGTCGTGGTCGTCGTCGTCGTCGTCGTCGTCGTCTTAATCGTCGTCGTCGTCGTCGTCGTCGTCGTCGTCGTCGTCGTAATCGTCGTCGTCGTCGTCGTCGTCGTCGTCGTCGTCGTCGTCGTCGTCGTCGTCGTAATCGTCGCCGTCGTCGTCGTGGTCGTCGTCGTCGGGAGTGGAGGGGGATATGGGGAGGCAGGGGAGGAGGGGAGAGGGATGATTGGGGGACGTCTGTTGGGACCTATGTGGCGAGACGCCCGGGCCGTGGTCCACGGTTGGGCGGCCCCCGTGCCTTTTCTCGCCTGGCTGCCCCTCCCGCGCTACTGGGCCGCCCTGTCAGCGCAGGACGTCCCCTCCGCCTGGGGGGTTTCTCCGAAGGGCTTAGGCGACCTGTTTTCCTTCCTCCCTCCCTCCCTCCCTCCCTCCCCTCCCTCCCTCCCTCCCTCCCTCCTCCTCTCCTCCTCCTCCTCCTCCTCCTCCTCCTCCCCTCCTCCCCCTCCGCCTCTCCTCCTCCTCCTCCTCCTCCTCCTCCGCCTCCTCCTCCTCCTCCTCCTCCTCCTCCACCTCCTCCCCTCCTCTCTCCTCCTCCGTCCTCCCTCCCCCTCCTCCTCCTCCTCCTCCGCCTTCCTCCTCCTCCTCCTCCTCCTCCTCCTCCTCCTCCTCCTCCTCCTCCTCCCCCTCCTCGGGTCGCCTACGGCCCTGGGGGAAACCGTGCACCTCCGCCCGCGGGCTCCCTCAGGCCGCCAGGCGCGGCGCAGGGTCAGACACTCGCATGGCTGCGGACGGCTGCTTGCGGGGCCCCTTTGCCATCCCCACTCGCCCGCTCACGGGCCCGCTGGGACTGATCCATGAACTCCGCCACCGCACTGACGAGGTGTACGCTCGCCGCCTGCACGGTGGCTGTGTGGCTGGCCATATAGTTCGCCTCGAGTGCCGGCATCTTGCAGTATATTGCCTCGACTGCTGCCATCTTGACGTCATGAGCGTCTTCGTCAATGGCGGCCTCCGACTCCGACGAGCCCACCGCCGCAGTCTCCATGTCTGTCCAACTCGAGGCCCCGTCGAGGCGGGCCCGCAGGCGAACACACGAACCCCCTGGCTTAGGGGGTGCCCACTCGTCGAGCTGAGCTGCTCCTCCGCCTCGCTGGCATGCGCTGACGCCGCCTCTCCGGGGAAGCCTTTTGCATCCAGCGGGGGTCCCCGTTCCTCTGGGCTGTTGGCCTTCTTCTTGCTCCTCATTTTTTCTTGGCTTCTTCTGCGTTCACTTCTGCTGGCCCTGCAGGGGCTCCTGGGCCTTCGGCCCCTCAAGGGGACATCCGCGGCCCTCGCCGGGCCAGGGCGGGGGCCGCTGCTCGGCGCGGCCGGCGGCCTCCGCTGCGCGGTCCCCAGTCGGCTCGCCCTTGCGGTGGTTGCCCTCGTCGCGGCTGTGCTCCTCGCCCTTCTACTTGCCGTTCTCCTTCGAGTGCGCGCAGTCGCCCTTGGCTGTCGCTCCTCCTCCTCCTCCTCCTTCTCCTCCACCTCCTCCTCCTTCTCCTCCTCCTCCTCCTCCATCCTCCGCCTCCTCCTCCTCCTCCTCCTCCCCTTCCTCCTCCTCCTCCTCCTCCTCTTCCTCCTCCTCCTACTCCTCCTTCTTCCTCCTCCTTCCCCTCCTCCTCCTTCCCCTCCTCCTCTTCTTCGTCCTCCTCGTCCTCCTCCTCCTCCTCCTCCTCCTCCTCCTCATCCTCCTCACTGTCGGGGCACCAGTCCAGCGCGGCCGGCGGCGAGGACGCCAGCGTCGTGAGCTCATCCCGCACGCGGTCAGCCAGGTCGTCGACAAGCGTGCTCTCTTCCGTGCCCCCTGCAGCTCACGGCGGCGCAGTCCGCGCCGAGGAGGGCCTCGGCTGGGGCTCCTCCAGGTTGGCTGGCGCCCCCGGGAAATGGCTGGCCGCAGAGGTAGCGGTATGGCATCCTGGCCAACCGTTCTTCGTAGAGAGTTTCTCAGCAGCTGCACCAGACCAGCAGCCGGGCGCTGCACCTTCTCTTGGGGTGGGGTTGCGAAGGCTGTCCTCGCCGTCTCTCCTCTCCCCAAAGTTGCGCTGGGAAAGGGAATTATTTCTTGCGGGGTTGAGCCGTGGGGATCTGTGATCTCCGCGGCCCGCTGGTGGCACCCTGCAGGTGGGGTGGTCGCCTCCAGTGCGTGTCTCGCTCCACTCCAAGGCGTTCCCCACAATGTGGGGTTACTCGCGACCTCGGAGGAGATGTCTCCGACTTGGCCGCCCTGGAGCGCAGGGGCTGTGCTGCAGTGTCTCCGCGAGGCCTTGGTCTTCTGGCCGCTGGGACCCCCCATGCTCGGAGGAGCCGCCTCCGCACTGGCCTCCCTGGGGCCAGGACCAGCGCTCTGTTTCTCCTTGTGGCGTCCGTGGACAGCCTGGGTCAGAGGAGCTGTCTCCGAGCCCGCCTCGCTGGGGCAAGTGGGGCTGGGCTCGGCTGGCGCTGGCGAGCTTGCTTTTCCTTCTCCCACCCCCCGTGGCCCAGAGGAGCTGCCTCCGAGCCGGTCACACTGGGGCCTGGGTCCGGCATCTGGCCTCGGAGAGCAGGGGTCTGCCTCGGGTCGCCGCAGCTCCAGGAAGAGGGCCAGAGTGAACCCAAGTTGCATCATCGATGCTGCAACGCACCCTCTCACCCCAAGCCCCCTTCATATGTCCCTGCACGCCTGCCATTCCACTACAAAAAAGCACCCTCTTGAAAGATCAGCACCGCATGTGCCTGCCATTGGGGCGACTACCCAATGTTGAAGAGGGACTGCCTTGCATCATCCTCATAGCACGTAGCCAGGGTTGCGAACAAGTATGATGAGACAGTTCAGCGAGGTGTCGAGTGTTATTTCCGTTTTGGAAAAGGACTGCCCCCCATCCGTGTTACTGTTGCACAGACCTGTGCTTCTGGTCGTGACCTTCGAGGACGTCTCTAGCGACAACCCCATTTTGAAAAGGAGCCGCCTCCATCCGAGCAGAAATTTTAGTTCTTAGCGCAATGAAGACTCATGAGTGCGCCCATCTCGAAAATGGCGAGATTTTTAAAAGGAATGTGCATGGCGCTAAAGCGAGAGCAAAACGGACCTGTGCTCCTCCCAAGCTTTCAAGACGAACATGCGTGGCGCTAGAGGCGACGAAGGTGCTGGTCCTCCTCCTCCTACTCCTCCTCCCCCTCCTCCTCTTCCTCCTCCTCCTCCTCCTCCTCCTCCTCCTCCTCCTCTGTCTTCATCCCCCACCTTCCCCCGTCGCCTTCGAACTCCCCGCGGCGGCGGCTGCGCCGACGCCGACGCCGACGCCGACGCCGACGCCGACGACGGCCTCCTTCGCGAGGGCCCGCCGCCCGACGAGCTCGACGACGCCCTCGCCCGGCTGGAGCTTGGCCCCGAGCCGCCCGCCGAGGAGCCCTTGGCGCTGCCGCTCGGCCTCGCGCCTAGATCAGGAGGGGAAAAAGCACACAGACACAATTACTCGTCGATTCCCCAGAAAATGCGGAAAATATGGGAAGTGGGGGGGAAGACAGAAACCTAGAAATTATGGGGAAATATGGGGAATCTGGTTATTTGTGCTTATTTATTTGTGTGTCCCAGTTCCCCTTCACTAGAGTCGGCGGCGAGCACGGGGGGGGAAGTGAGGCGGGGAAGTGAGGCGGGGGGGGCTTCCCAGAAACCCCCGGGCCCTCTGAGAAACCGTCTCTGTCTTCGCACGAGGCCCCGACCACGTCTCGCAAAGTGGGGGGGGCACCTGGGAGGCCGGGCCGCCTTTGAGAAGGCCCGCCCTCTCTCGCTTTCCCCCCCCCCCGGGGCTCGCTGCCGAGAAAGACGGGGGCCCTTCCCTTGCTGGCCGCCGCCCGCGACGTCGCCGACGTCGCCGACGGCCACGACGACGACCTCGACGACGACGCCGTTCGGCGGCCTTCGGCAGCGGCGGCGTCATCATCGTGGTCGTCGTCGTCATGATCGTCTTCGTCGTCGTCGTGGTCGTCGACGATGTGGTGGTCGTCGTCGTCGCCGCCTCGTCGCCCGCCTCCTCCGCCCTCCCTTTGTCCACCTGCGACGCCTCCTCCTCCTCCGCCTCCTCCTCTTTGTACATGTATCCCTGCGCCGATTCGCTCCGTTTCAACTGCCACCTTTTGTCCCTCTGCCGATCCAGCTAACGCGTCCCACTGCCAGTGCACGTGTCGCCTGAATCTGACGGTCGCCGCCGGTGATCCCAAACGTACGGACCCTCGGCTGACGGTCAACCGCATCAGATGCTCCCGTAGAGTGGCAGGAGCTGCCGCAGTTTGTGGCCACCTGCTTTCTTTTACCGCGCCCTCACCTTGTCGGTAGATGTAGGGCCAGCCCCTTCTGAGAAGCAGCCTCCTTCTAAGAAGCCCTCCCCCCTCCTCCAACCCCTCTCTGCGAGTCGCCAACAGTGGAGAATCAAGAGGGGAAACACATGGACACACGGGAAGAGATGGGAAGTGGAGGGGAAGACGAAACTTAATCCTGGGATCTAGAAGCACCCTGCTTCCTAGAAGGCGCGGGCCTCCTCCTAAGAAGCCTTCTCCCTTCTACCTCCTTGTGCTCGCCGCCACTGGCCTCGCCGCTCGCCTCTTATCCGCCGTGCTGGGCGCCATTAGCTCCTGTGCGGCCCACTTGGCGCTCGCGGCCGTGGCGCCATATTCGCCAGCGGAGTG